AAAGCGCAAGCATCGGAAGGTGAGGACGACGCTATGTACGGCTAAGATTAACGCTCGAGTGGTGGCAGGTTTTTCCGGTTGGTATGACGCTGTGAAGGCATGCGGTCACCACAACCATCCCGTTACGAAACACCAATGGTCCAACTACGTTGGAAACCTCAAGGTCAAGGACAACAGACTGAAGCAGGACGCGATCGACATGCCAAGGCGGGTGCGCATGCTAAAGGGATTCTCGGTTATCTTCACGAGCAATCTGGTAGGTGTATACCTTCTTGCATCTGTCCGGTGGCATCCGGTACCAGTTTGTAGTTATCCAGTATCTTATTTTGTGGCTTCCGGTATATTACGGTGGAATCCGGTTTCGGTTCTATGGTTTCAGGTTTAATAATGTTTTCAGTGATTCTGTTCTGTATATTTCCGTAGGGCAACTGGTGACGCTCCGTGATGTCCATAACATGATCCAAGGTTTCAAGAAAGAGCAGAGGGGTTTGTGCATCGGATGCCGAGCGAGCGCTCGCTGTTTTGGCGGAGTTCTGCGCGGAGTGCGAAGGAACCAGTGCGGAAATAATGGTGGACTCAGAGTCGAAAGTTGCACGAGTAGTTACGTTCAAAAGCGCGCGCATGAAGCGCTTGTTTCGTGCATTTCCTGAAGTGATGCTGGTCGATGCTACGAATGATACTAACGCGAACTGGTACAAGCTCTTCAGTTTTGCAGTGCACGACGTGTTTGGAAAGGTATAGATTGGTTATGAATTGATTACAGATGTGGCTTACGCTCCCGATAGGGTCAGTATGTGTTTCATTCTTTGATAGACTGAAGAAATACCAAATTTGCGCAAGGCTGTTGATTTTTTCAAGAAGTACAATCCAGCTTGAAAGGACATCCGTGTGGTGATGGCTGACGAGGCTATGCATGAGAAGCCTGTGCTGCGCGAAAGCATTCCCCAATCGCGGCAACTCCTCTGTCAATGGCACGAAATTACGCGGTTGAAGAAGCAAGCCATTCTCTTGGCTCCCAAGAACAAGGGCAAATTGAAAGGTGTAGTGAACGCCATTGTCTATTCAAGAAGCTTTCAGGAATACGACGACAACAAGACAGCATACTGAAATCTTTAGGCGGGGACATGGAACACCCTATGTACAAGTTTCTAATGGACAACTGGGACGACAGCCAGAACGAGTAGATTTCTTACAGGCGTGGTAACGTGGCTCACCTGGACAACAACACTAACCATCGACTGGAGAGCAAGTGAGGCAAAATCAAACATGTTTGGAGAAGCATATTACGTTGGATGATACGATTTCGACGCCGATCATGATACAAGGAATCGCTGAGGACGAGTACGTCTCTCACTATCACGAAGTTGGTAGCCGCCCTGTGCAAAAGGGTGAGACTGAAGAACTGAGTACTTTCGGGAGACATATCAGCGAGTACGCATTCGGATTGTAGGCGAAACAGTATGCTACAGCTGTCGGCTCAACTGCCGACTACGAGATTGATTTGCGTCCTCCAAACAAGGCCGTATTGACGCGCTTAGGAACCGATACAACATACATGGTAGATACGTCGGTAAATAACTGTCTCTTTCTGGTACCATTCTGTATCGGTCTGACACCGTAACTAACTTGTTTTGTGTGTTATTGTGAATATCATGTACTAGGCATCGGCCAGCGTCTGCGACTTTATGCAAACCCGTCTGCTACCCTGCAGACACGTGCTTTAAGCACAATTACGAGAGTGTAATTCCGCCGCTTCAGACGTTTCCTCTCAGTTGGATGGTGCGCGCACCCGAAAATAACATCGACGCAGGTGATGTTGGCGCGGGGGGCCTCGTTAAGATTATCTGTGATGCAGTTCGACAAGGAACTGCGGTGGCACCAACTGACAAGTACATCCGGAGCAAGGCCCTGGCGGAAAAGATCGTCGTCCGGATGTCGCTGCAATCAACCCCTACATACCGACTGGCTCTAGACCGGATGCAAGGGTTTTACAACCCCTACAATCAGGAGAAGTACCTGCGTTTGTGATGAGAGCTGACCTACCGCTAGCATCGTCCCCAGATTCGACAGATCGCACCCAGATTACTCTAACGGGGCCGTCGGCTCCGACATCTATTACATCCACGGCTGATGACGAAGTCGACAACTTGGAGGAAAAGCAACCAGCCCCTGTTCAAGATGCAAGTGATGGCAAGGAGGAAGTGCAAGAAGTAGCAGGTCAAGCTACAATGCGTCCTACTAAAGCAGATTCTTTTCAGCCGGCGCCGGCTGCAACTACGTCTTCAGCTGGTACCGGCGAAATACCGGAACGTACCAAACGTATACCGGACGCAAGCCCCCAAGGCACGGAAACGGATCCAATTTCGTTTGCGGATCTGCCCCGAGTTCGAGGTGTCTCGAAGCGGGAGAAGAGAAGGCTATCCGGGAGGAAGGAGCTCCGTGGGGCGCGCGAATTGGCTGTGAAGATAAATGATGGAAAGAAAACTCGCAAGACCCGCCTTGATGATGTGGCAGCCTACTCGAAGGCGCTTACAGCATGGATAATGCAAAGACAATGGTGGACTCGCTGGCGCTTGACGACGTCGAAGTCCAAGGCAGTGCATCGATCCGCCCCTACAACGTAGGCCAACGTGTGCCTAAAATTCGCGCGATACCTCAGCTCGGCAAGACTCGGCAGGCCGTCACGGCAATCAAAGCCAAGGATACCGTGAAGCTTCTGGCGAACTGGTCCGAGTATGGATTGCAACGTTTGATCAGCCGGAAGCTATGGCCAGCGTGCTGGAGGCTCAAAACCAGTTCCAACGTGTGTATTTTACGCTGGAGTGGATTGGGGGTGTTGAATGGCAAGTTAAAGACGTGGTTCCGCCTTTTACGGATACCTGTGACCATACGAAGGAAAGTCAAAATGTGTTTATACCAGGCGATACCGGAAGATACCGGATGAAAACCAATTCTAACCAATTCATTTATCTCATGATCCTGCAGCTAGCGTACAAGGAAGCAGTCACAGGAATGGTGTTGGGTGAAATCTGTATCGGTCCAGAGTGGTGCATGGGCGGGCTGCTAATTGCTGGACTTTCGCAATGGTTGCACAGCTCTTCTATTATTTCAGCGATGTTGGCACTGCAGCAGATGTACCCCAAGGTGGGAGTCATTAACCCAAGCTACCACCACTTGGTGGGGCTGAATACGAAGAAAAAAAAACGGCAGGAGTATTTGGAGCGATGGACCCCTATAATGAATTCATTATCGCTGCCATATGCATGGACACTGGTGTTGGACAAGCGTAAGAACGTGTGCTATACGTTCGACGCTCTGCAGCTGAAGGAGAATCTTGCAACTTTGAAGTCCAGCGTGCAGTTCGTGATTCAGCCGATACTAAGCTTAAAGGACCGGATCACCTACAAAGAAGTTGACTGGTGTCAGCAGAAGGACAACAGCTTGTGCGGTGTTTGGTGTCTGGTTATTTTGAAGTTGTTGCTTGCTGGCAGACTGTGCGCTGACAATCTCTACGACGTGCTTCCATACCTGCGACTGCGCTATTTGTACAAGG